AGGGGAACAGACACTGGAGCCTACTTGAGGGTGGAAGCTGGGGAGAGGATCAGAAAAAATAACTATTAGGTACTAGGTTTAGCACCTGGGTGACAAAATAATCTGTACAACAAATCCCTGTGACACGAGTTTACCTATATAATAAATCTGCACATGTCCCCCTGAAGCTAAAAGTTTAAAAAAACAGAAAAGAAGTTTGAAGTATACCTATTCTAAGGACAAGCATTGGAAGACCAGTAGAGTATTATAAGCAGGAAATCATAAGATGTGATTCACATTTTTTAAGGCCACTTTGGGTGTATATGGAAATTAGATTTTAGGGAGGCAAAAGGAGAAGCCGAAGAACTAGTTAGGAGGCTACTACAGTTGTCCAAGCCAAGGATGATGCTGGCTTGCACTGTGATGGCTGAAATAGAATAGCCATATTTGGAATAGTCTTTGCAAGAAGAGTCCATGAGAAGTGCAGATCAATTAGATCTGAGGACTGAGAAACAGAATATTAAAAATAGCTGACATTCAGGGAGAACATGCTTTGTTCAAGACATTGTTCTATGTATTTTCCATGTAGTAATTTGTTTGATCCTTACAATGATCTTACAAGATTAGAAGAGACTATAAGAAATGAAGGAACTAATTGCTTAAGGCCAGGCATTTGAGACCAGCCTGGCAAACAGAGTAAAACCGTCTTGTCTCTACAAAAAAATGCAAAAATTAGCCAGGTGTGGTGGTGCAAGCTTATAGTCCTACCTATTTGGGAGGCTGAGGTGGGAGGATTGCTTGAGCCCAGGAATTCCAAGATTATAGTGAGCTATGATTGTGCCACTGTACTCCAGCCTGCCTGGGCGACAGAACAAGATCCTGTCTTTAAAAAAAAGAAAAAAGAAAGGAAAAAATTAAGAAACTAAAGCATAAAGAGGTTAGATAACTGCCCATGGTCTCAAAGCTGGTAGATAGCAAAGCAGAGGTTACAATCCAAAAATCAAGACACTACGGCCTCTCCGGAATGGCAATCTGAAAGAAGACTCAATGGCATCAACTCGTCACCCTGAACACTGGATGGATGGCTATGCCCTTGGAAGACTGGGGAAGAAATGGGTTTAGGGCAGAGATGGGAAGATGAAAATCCATTATTTCTTTTTTGGCCATATGAAGTTTAAGGTAACTTAAGACATCCAGACAGAGAAACCAAAGAGAGCTGAATATACAGATTTCCAATTTGGTGGCAATGTCAGGGTTTAGAGGGACATGGGGTCATCTATGTGACAACAGACGGTATTAGAGCTATACAATAGAAAACATTATTAGGGCAAGAAAACATTATTAGGATAAGAAGACACATCTAGGATGAAGCAGCTGAGGAGCTCCTTAAAAGTTGGAAGGGAGATGATCTAGCAAGAGACTCTTGGAAGCAATTAGGACAATAGAGGACAATCAGAATTATCACAGAAACCAAGAAAAGATGTTTCAATAAGGATAGAGTGGGCTATTCTACCAAATGCTGCTGAAAGGCTAAGAAATGCGGTGACAGAAAAGTGACCACTGGATCTGGCAAACTGACAATCACTAGTAAACCTGACAAAAGTAGTTACTATGAAACAGTAGACAAAGAAGCAAGCTACATAGGAACAAATACAGAAAAGAATGCGAGATGAAATAGCAGTGGCAGCAGATATGAACAATTCTTTGTGGAAAGTTTACAAAGGAGGAAAACAGATAAGGCAGCAGCTCAAGGAGGACTGGATAACAAAGGTTTTTTTCCTAAAATGGTATCTACTAATTAGAGAAATCTTATGAGAATTTATATGATTTATTTTTGTGAGTATTTATGGCTATAAACCAGCAGATGACCTGTAATTCTTTTTCTAACTCTAAGCATAGAGGTTAAATAGAACAGTTATGCTGTAGTAAATTTATTTCCCTTCCGATATTATGCTAGAAAATATTTTGCCTCCTCAATAAAATCACAAGTAGGAATAATCCCTGGGGGAGAGAGATCCATATTAAAAAAAATCATTAGTTCTAAAACACAACAATGTGTAAAATACATATAATATGGTTGTACTATACTCAAATCACAAAAAATAATCACCATGAAGATTTAGTATAGTCATAAATAATGATGATTTGCCTAGACCACATTCTATACTTCTAAAAAAATCATAATTCTTGATGTTCAATTATCTGTAACTTTCTATCAGTTGCAAGCTGCATTTACCCCTTCATATGCATAGGTAAATAAAGTAAAGCTTAAAATGTTTAAATAATTTTTTGATCATTTATTTTATTCTGATTAAGTCCTACCTGTAGCATGACACATCATCCTTCAAAGGGGCTGACAGCATACCAACCAACAAGAGAAATCACTGTCTACCACATCTGCTGAGACACATGGTTACCAGCTAATGTCTAACAATACTCATCTGCATATAGTGCACTTGTGATGGCCATTCTTATACAACACTAGGCATCATCAGAGCCTAAAGGAGTATTTGCTCACACTAATTATAACAACAACACATGCAATTACCAGATGGCAACAGAATGAGTTCAAGATCCTACCATTCCATTAGGTTGAGGAAATAAGAGGGTGGATGGATACTGCTGTTAGAGTTTGGTTATTCTCCAAATTCTAAGTCAGTTAAATAAATTTCTATTCATTTTCTAGTCTTGGTTCTGCCGCTAAAACAGAGAGAATAAAGAAACCACAAAATTTTTAGTTAAAACTAACCACTTCTTACATACTTGCCCATACTCCCACTAAAAGCACATTATTTCTTTAAAAAATAAATTTAAAACCAGCTAAATCATGTTAAAGCATGCTGATATAGTGTGCAATTACATGTTAAATAACATTCTCTGTTTATATCTCAGAAAGGTCTTCTGTCACTATTCAACTTATTAAATTTTCCCTGATGGTCTCTATCAAAGCACTATGGTCTTTTTCTTACTAATCAACAAAGTGTCACCAGCCCCTGTTCAGATTACTGGTATTAAAAAAGGTGCCCCCAAAATACTAATGTGTTTGATAATTTTTCAAGACACCCTAGGAAAAAGGTCCACTAGCAGCTGAATCACAGAACGTAGGTTCCCACTTACACAAGCTTACAGTTTGTTAAAACAATTATCATCTAAAAAGTTTTATTTTTTAGTCTACTGACATGGCTAATTGCACTGATTTTGTAATGGTGAACCCACTTTGCAACACCAGGATAAACTGCTTTTGGTCATATGTTACTCTTTTTATATCTTTATTGCTGCATTTTATTTGCTAATAGTTTGTAGAGGATTTCTTACATCCATGTTCATAAAGGATAGTGATCTGCAGTTTTTCTTTTTCTTTTTTTGAGACGGAGTTTCGCCATGTTGCCCAGGCTGGAGTGCAAAGGCGCAATCTCGGCTCACTGCAACCTCTGCCTCCAGGGTTCAAGCGATTCTCCTGCCTCAGCCTCCCGAGTAACTGGTATTACAGGCACATACCACCACACCCAGACTGCAGCTTTTCTTATTATGAATTGTCTAGTTTGGTGTCAGGGTAATGCTAGCATGAGTTCGGAAGTGTTCTCCCCTCTTTTTTTTTTTTTTTTTTTTGAGACAGTCTTGCTCTGTCACCCAGGCTCACTGCAACCTCTGCCTTCCGGGTTCAAGCAATTCTCCCGCCTCAGCCTCCCAAGTAGCTGGGATTACAGGCGAGCGGCACCATGCCCGGGTAATTTTTGTATTTTTAGTAGAGACAAGGTTTCACTGACCAGGATGGTCTCGAACTCCTGAGATGATCCGACCGCCTCGGCCTTCCAAAGTACTGAGATTACAGGCGTGAGCCACCGCGCCCGGCCATCTCCCATCTTTTTATGTAGAATTGGCATTACTTCTTCCTTAAATGATCATGTCTCAAAAGATGCAGAAAAATCATTTGCGAAAATTCAACACTGATTCATAAAAAAAACTCTAAGCAAACTAGGGGGAAAAGGGAAACTTAGCCTGATTTGAAAAACATCTACCAAAAACCTAAAGCTAACATACTTAATGGTAAAAGATCAAATATTTCCTCCCTAAGATAGAGAACAAGACAAGGATGTCTCTCTGTCCAGGGAATGGGCCACAAGCTTTGAAAACCAAAAACCAAGATTTTTAAGAACACGGTGAATTTTTCCTCAGTGATGAGGAGATAAGGCGAATGTGATAAACTTGGAGAGCAGTAAAAACAAACGAGCTGTTGAGAATTACAAAAAAAAACAGGGTAAGATAAAGCACACCTGAGCAGATCAAAAGTTTATACCTGGTAGCACTTACTGTTCTTTTGAATGGCTGGGTGATGTTCCCCCGCCCCTCCCCAACCCCCGACCTCCGACCTCTGACCTCCAACACCCAAAAGGAACTTCAATCTCTGTAGATGGCAAAGAATGGCGTGGAAACTACTAAAGTGAGCTTTCTTTGATATAACAGCAACTAAGTGTCCAGTCTTAGAAGACTGAAAGATAAAGGGGGCGTGGCGGGGAAGAAAAGTGACTTGGTGGGGCAAGAGATAATTGGAAGATGATTTCATAGTGCAGGCGGTGGATGAAATTACAAGGACTGGGTGGGCGAGTTTACAAAGCTTGGAGTCAGGAAGTGTGGGCAAATTAGTCATCCAGAAGGTACACCAGTAGGAAAATTATGGAATCGACACTAACAGGAGGTAAAACGAAGAAGGAAGAGGAATAGGAATACAGGGTAAAAGTCTCTCCAAACCTCAGACCCGGAGTCCCCAGGATACGTGGTGGCTGGGGAATGGAACCAGAGTAGAGGCTGAGATGCTCCCAGCTGGAAGCATCTTCAGGAGCCAGGTGGCAGGGAGACGCCACCTTTCTGGAAGGGGTGGACCCGCGTAAAGCCGAACGAGAGAGGACCTCAAGAAATTAAATCCCAGAATCGTTGGAAGCGTGGAGGTGGAGTCCAGCAGGGAAGCGGACCGAGCAGACAGAAAGGACTCCGAGGTCCCAAGCGACAGACACCTCACTCACCTGGTTGGTGACCTGAAAACGAAACAGAGAACACGCTTTAGAGACAAACTACCGTGGACTCGCGGCAGCAACCCGGCTCCCTCTGCGCCTGCCCAGGGCCCCAGGGCTGTCCCGAAGCGCGCCCACCTCAGGATTGGCCTCCAGCGGCAGCCAGCGCTGTCCCTCCATATCCGCTGTGCCCGGCCCCTCCAGCTCTGACAGCCGCCGCCTTCGCCGCCGCCGCCGCCGCTTCCGCCCACGCGCGCCTTGACCTGGGCCCGCCCAACCCACCGCCCCGAGGAGGGCGCCTAAGTACCAAAAAGAGCTTAACGGGCCTCTCACCCTCTTAACCGCTCCCTGCAGGGCCGTAGGTCAAGTGTCATATTTTAAATTAAGATGCTGTTGAGTAGGAAAAAAATAAGACCCAAGTTCCTATTTCGGGAGGAAAAGAGTATCTAAATCCACAGTCCTCTCCCCACACGCTTGGACTCTTCCGAGCCGGGCCGGGCTAGGCCGAGCGCTCACGTTCTACGCATGCGCTGGGCGCTGGTCTGGGACCGCGTGCTCACCAGCCCCCTCGCATTCTTGCAGTGTCAACCAACGGCGCTAGGAGGCGCGCCGCGGAGTCCTATTCTGAGACAGACGCCAGGTGGCTACCCTTTGCCAGGCAGCAAGGTCGGTGGACGCCGTGCAGCTGTTGTTCCTTTGTCGGGGTGCAGGAGTGATGGGCTGGCCTTGTCTGCTCTTGCGGGAAGCAGGCGGTATTTCTATATATCCGATTCCATTTGACAAAAAATGTCGAGTACTATAAATTACTGTACTAAGTGTTGCGGACACAAAGTTGAGTTCACTGTGGAGTATTAGCAGTGGACAAGACAATAGAGAATCAGGATAAAAAGCGTGGTACCTACATGGTAGTGATGGCATGAGGTGTGGAAATGTTCCTGAGAAAGTGGATTCCTGGACTGAACCCTTAAAAGTTGGTAGACTTGACCCAGGCAGAGAGGAGGGTGCTGTGAAGCAGGGAAAACGCATTGTAGCTGTAGAGTAAAGGGCGCTGATTAGAGGTGATGCTGGAGAGGTAAGCAGAGGCAACCCAGTCAAGACATCTGGGCTTCCTGAAACAGCAAGGAACCCTGAATGATCTTAAGCAGGATTTGTTGTGTGTCTTTTTCACCAAACTGTAAATTCCAGGAGGCCAGCAGCATTGTCTCTTTTTTCTTCTTCGCATTATTTATCCAGGGCCTAACCCAGTGTGTGATACACAGAAAATGCTCAATAAACATTTGATGGGATGATCAGATATGCAGAAACACCCCTTGCCAATAATGTGGAAAACGTGTAAGAAAAAAAATGCTGAAAAAATTAAGACAATAGCCACGGAGAAAGGCAGAGATTAAAGAGATACTGTTTTAAGGGATGATCTCTTTGATGAGCAGAAGTTATCAATGATGACTCCATAAATTTGACCTGGGGAAGAGTGCATATTACTATTCTGCACCTAATAGAGGAAATTCAGAGAGAGAGCAGTTCGGGAGTCAGAAAAAGATAATATTATTATGCTGAGCTTCCCTTTCTTGGGAAACTTCCAACTCTCCCCCCCCCCATGTTCTTCTGGCCACTGTTCTTTGACCTCAGAGGCATTTCATTACCCTAACTCCTCTTCGTTGTTATCTGTCTAATGGATCACTGCTATGATCACCTAACACTTTGGCTTGGCAAAACTGGCAGTGTCCAGCTTGTGATGGGCTTAGTTGCGTTATCACTAGAGTTACATGGCCAGACTCTTAGTCTCTGCTGGGCACAGTGCATGCCAGTGGCTGCTCTTCAAATTACTTACTATGAAAGGAGGCCTTGCTCCAGATCCCTGAGGTTCTGCACTGTGATTCACCTGTTAAGGTTGCTTGAGACTTCACACAGTATCTTTATCTGTAAGGGACTCTAGCAGCATTGGATCTGCTGAGACACAAGACCAGACAGCAAGACAGTTTGCATCCCAGCAGGGACTTGCTGCAGAGCACTCACTTGCTAGGGATCCACTCAAACAGACAGCTTTCCATACCACCAAATAAATGTTTTGAATCTGTATTCCCAAGTGTATAGTCTATCTCCAAAAGCCAAAGAGATTCACGAGGTACTCTGCCACTTTGCTATTAATAGGAATTGTAAGATGCAATACATTGTCTTTCACCTTACAGGGATTGTCCTAGCACACCCCAGACCTTTAGACCCCCCCCAAAAAAACTTTACAAATGTAGGTCTCCAATTTGTAGAGTTAAACTGTACAAAATTTAACTTCCACCATCTGGTTTATATGGCTTATACAGTTTAACTTTCACTGTCTGGTACAGATGTACCTATCATGGTACCGAGGGCAGCGTGTCTCAGATGTGCATACAAACACTTGGGGAATAGGAAATGCAGGTTGTGACTGAATAAATCTGAGATGGGGCTCAAGATTTGGCATCATTGGTTCCAACTTTTTAATCTTCCCTTTACCCACATATGACTTCGAAGTTTTACAAAGTTCTGTCCATCTTCGTTATTTATGGGTCTTGCATTTTACACCTACATGCTAAAATTTATTTGTGATTCCCAAATCTATACACACAGAGTTCTCATGGTCACTCACAAATATTCACAGGGTGGCAAAACATTTTAGTTCCCAGCCAAGGTTGGGCAAGGTGATACTCTGCCTTCTTCTTTCAGCTCTTATACTGGAAACAAGTGTCCTCTTGATGGTCTATTTAATGCTAGTTTTCCCATTTTTGAGGTTTTTGTCAGTGAATTCAATGTTTAAAATGGCCCTCAAGCATAGTGCTCAACTTCTATTTAGTGATTCCAAGCCCAAGAAGGCTTTCACATACCTTACAGAGAAAATACGAGTATTAGATAAGGTTTGTTCACACTTTCAGTTACAGTGCAGTTGGCTGCAGGTCAATGCTAATGAATCAACGATATATATTAAATAAGGTGCTTTTAAACAGAAATGCACATAAAACAAGGTTATATGTTGATCAGCCAATGAAAATACTGTGACCACACACTCACAGGAACCTAACCTGTATTTCCCCTAGAAGCAATGATTTATTATTTGCTAATTCAGTGCCCATGGCAACTTTATAGATCATCAACGAAAACACTGCACATCCCCTTCTTGTGAGTATGCACAGTATCATCACAGGAGATTTTATTAAATATTTTACAGTTTCCAGTTAAATATAGTGGCATGCCACTTATTTACATAAATCCACGCACTTTTGGTGTCTTTAGCATTGGCAGTATAATGTTGATGGTTGTCAAAGAATATAAAGTGTTTATTGCCCTTTCCTACTTGACTAAACATATAGTTACGTTTTGCAGCAACTGCTGAATCATTTAATAGCTTCTATTCAAAGACAGCAGGAAGTTTTTGACAAAGTAATGTGCGATGCCTTAACAAGAGTACTTGTAACTCAAAAACTGTTCTCTCATTCTTACACATTTTTTTCTTATATTCTGAGGGATCTGGTGGTTTCTTCAACCTTAAACTGAAGTAAGCAATTTGAGTAGCTTATCTACTCAAAGCTACCCACCTTTCTAAGGAATTGTAAATTACTTGGATGCTCTGCAAGAATACATGGGATTGTGACTACTCCTCCAATAATCCATATTTGCCTCACCACTACATTTGCAAACTGCTGTTCTGTTTTTATGCTTATTTCCATACCCAATAAACTTTTGTTAAGCCGAATCATAGTCTTTTAAAAGACATTTTAATGTCAATGTTTTAAATTTTTATTTTTTAATTTTTGTGGGTACTTAGTAGGTATATATATTGATGGGGTACATGAGATGCTTTGAAACAGGCATACAGGGTGAAATAAACACATCATGGAGAATGCAGTATCTATCCCCTCAAGCATTTCTCCTTTGAGTTACAAACAATCCAATTACACTCCTTATTTTAAAAATGTACAATTAAGTTATTATTGTCTCTAGTCACCCTGTTGTGCTATAAATGGCAATTAAACATAGTAAGTATAGACAAACAATACTCATAACTCTATAGAAGTGTAGAAGAGCTATGAAGAAGTTCATGCATGCACCTGCCAAAACAATTGAGTCACAGCTGCTGCCCTGATTAACTGTCACTCTAAGAAGCCATCTGATGTAATGTTCACTATAATTCCTGATGTTAAACATAAAAAGATACATGTCTAAGAACTGATGAAATTTGCTATTTGTACAACACCTGACTTAAGTTTGTCATCACAGTTGTAACCAGCCCAGGGAAATCTTTCAGGTTCAGGCCCCACCTAGCTGACCCTAGGGCTGTAGGGGTTGGGGGAGGTCAGTCTCTCTGTACACTGTAACTCATTCATGGCACTTCACCTTGACTACTCACTATTTTATATTACTTATCTTAATAGCAGTATGTCCAGCTTTCTTCCTGCTGCATGGGTTTATACCCTGCCTCTGCCTTGAGTGTACGTTGTATTGCCAAACTATCATTCCTAAATGTGGCCTTTTGGCAGTGCTTGAAAACGTACCAAAGCCTTACATAATTTGGCCCTGTCTGTCCTCAGAATGAACTCATTCTCCACACTTGATCAGAAGTCATGACTATCTAGCTATGTTTCTCTAAACCAGGCACTTAACCTAATTAGGTCTTTTTTTTTTTTTTTTTTTTTTTTTTTTTTTTCTCGCTCAGTCACCCAGGCTAGAGTATAGTGGGGCAATCTTGGCTCACGGCAACTTCTGCCTCCTGGGTTCAAGCTACTCTAGTGCCTCAGCCTCCCAAATAGCTGGGACTACAGGCATGCACCACAATGCCCGGCTAACTTTTTGTATTTTATTTCTGAGACAAAGTCTTATTCTGTCACCTAGGCTGGAGTGCAGTGGTATGATCTTGGCTTACTGCAACCTCCCCCTCCTGGGTTCAAGCAATTCTCCTGCCTCAGCCTCCGGATTAGCTGGGATCACAGGCGTGCGCCACCACACCTGGCTAATTTTTGTAAATTTTTAGTAGAGACGGGGTTTCACCATGTTGGCCAGGCTGGTCTTGAACTCCTGGCCTCAAGTGATTCACCCAACTCGGCCTCTCAAAGTGCTGGGATTACAGGTGTGAAACACCGTGCCTGGCTGGTCTCATTTTTTTTAAACACAAGATGTTTCAACCTTTAAGCTGAAGGTTGAAAACCATGTCTTAAAGGTTTCAAATGTGTGAAGTAGGCAGGTGAAATGAAAGAGTGATGTGAAGACTGTGACAACTGGAAGACATCAAACTTTTCTAAACGCATTCTCATTCAGAGTTTTTGATACAGATTGTTTTTTGTTTTGTTTTTCAATCGTGTGAGTAGGCCAAATTTGGCCCAAAGGCTAAAAATTTTAAGCCCTACTTTAAGCTCTAAAACTTCCATGATTCCAGGATTAGTGATCATGCTTATTCCCGGTTCTGCATCTGACTGATGCTGCTCATTGATTACCCACCCCACCACC